GTTTACCTTCTGGCCCTTTTTTTCTTTTAACCCTCTCAATCATATACCGTTATAACAAAGGCACTATTTTATTATAAACTAAACTATAAATCAGAGTTAGCATTGCATATCCCTTATGCTAAATACAATATAACATTCTTGTCTTGAATTGCTCTTAATTTAATTCCTAGAAGAGTCTGGGAATTTTCAGGTTAGAAAAGAGACAGTTAAAGGGGGACATGATACAGGTTTATAAAATTATGCATGGGGTAGAGAAGAGTGGCGAGAGAGAACTTATTCTTCCTCTCTCAAAATAGTAGAACTTGAGGACACCCAATTATGTTGATGTGCAGTAGATACAGGACAGACAAAAGGAACTTCTTTACTCAATGAGTGATTAAAATGTAGAATTTGCTGCTGGAGGATGTAGTGATGGTCACTACAGATTCCTGGAGGACAGGTCTATCAGTGGCTACTAGCCATGGTGACTAAAGGGAACTATATAATTTATTTATTTATTTATAATTTTTATTTATAAATCACTCAGTTCCTGAGTATTCAGGGTTCTGAGCGATGAACAACACAAAATATATAGCATGACAAAAACAATTCCAAGCATTAAATAAATTAAGTAAATTAATTAAAAACAATTCACAGATGGCATTGATACTTCTGATTCCAGACTGTGTAATTGCCTTACAGGAGGGGTAGGGAGGAAGCTCAGTTGGAGAAGGGGGAAAGGGGGCAGGGGAAAATGGAGGTCCCAGAGGACACGGATGATATTTGACAGAGAGTTCCACCAGGAAGGGGCCAAGGCTAAAAAGGCCCTGGCCAAGGATAGCCAGATGTCTTTTGGGCCGGGGATCACCAGTAAGTTGAAAGCTAGTTTGGTTTAGTAGTTAAAGTGCGTAGACTCTAATCTGGGAGAACCGGGTTTGATCCCCCACTCCTCTACTTGCAGCTGCTGGATGACCTTGGGCAAGCCATAGTTCTGTCAGAGCTGTCCTTGAAAGAGCAGTTCTCTCAGAGCTCTCTCAGCCCCACCTACCTCACAGGGTGTCTGTTGTGGGGAGGGGAAGGGAAAGGAGTTTGTAAGCCTCTTTGAGACTCCAAGTGAATGGCAGGGTATAAATCCAATCTCCTCCTCCTCCTCCTCCTCCTCCTCCTCCTCCTCTTCCTCTTCTTCTTCTTGCTGAGAGAGCTGAGCATAGCACTCTTCAGGGGACATCTTTGAAGCCCAGTGCCAGAAGGCGACATCAGAGGAAGGCCTCAGCCTCTATGCCTTGTGGTTAGCCCTCCAGAGGAAATGGTTGGCCACTGTGTGAAACAAGATGCTGGAATCATTGGACCACTGATCTGAACCAGCAGGGCTCTAAATAAAGAACAAAGCTGGCCTACCAGAGCATGGCTTTACTGTTAGCCATTTACTAATCAAAATCCAATCCAAACAGTGCCAGTTGTAAGTACCAGAAATCTTCTGAACCCACAAAAATTGGTTGGTTATCTGACAGTTATTCTAGAACCTTACTGTCTGTTTTCAAAAACTATTCCTGACTTTGTTTGGAAATCATCTGAACTGACAGATATTCTGGCTGCTCTCAGTTTCCCAGGCAGTAGGAGGCAAGAAGGGCCAGAGCATCAAAGGGAAAGAATGATTCAGCATAAATAGATATGTATATGACAGGGATTCTGGGTACAGTATCATAACAACTGGGTTTTCTGTGCTCAGGGTTTCTTCTTTCTGCCAATCCCTGTATCTTCTCATTGGCTTTGGGAGGGCTTTTGGATTCTGTAACAGCAGACCCTGTTTCCTTGAGCTGCTTCATTATCTGGTGCTGCGCCGATGCAGGCAAGCAAAGGAAGGGTGTTGTTTTTATTACCTGCTGGAAGCCAGATAAACAGAAAGACAGCAGAAGATGCCCCCTGCCCCCCCCCCCCCCCCCCCCCCGCCCCACACACACACAGTGGAATGCAGTGTCAGCCAGTCCATGTGCTGTACAGGAGGACCAGAAGAAAATACATTGCTTGAACTAGCTGACAGGCAGGCAAAGCTGCAGAAGTGGAGGGAAAAACAAAAGCAGATGACAAGGCCGACCACATCAAAAATACTCAAAAGCTCCTTCACTTTATCAGGAAAGCAGGATATAAATGCATAAAATACTATTCTGCAACGTTGAGATAAAAGGACATTTCCTCTAATCCTTAATATATATGCTTTGATTTAAATGCATGAAATGAAGTGGATTGGAGGGGGTGAATAGTCAGTCTCCCCCCTTTTTCCACAGAAAAGAGAATGTGCCACTCACACTTTTCTATATGATTATGAATATTTGCATGGGTAAACAGCTAAAGATGTTCAGTAATTGGTTTTCTCCAAGCATCCCCCCCCATTTCTGTTTCAATCACTAACTTATTTATTTATTTTTTCCATCTATAAAACTGTGGGTCATGGTTTATTGTGCATTTTTTGTTTATAATGCTTTTCTTGCCAAAAAAGAGATATTTTTGAGAACAGACAGCCCTCTTAAATGAGAACAAACAATTACAAACCCCAGAGTCTGAGCTTTCAGAAGGAGGAAGAGGAGGAGGAGGAGATTGGATTTATACCCTGCCCTTCACTCGGAGTCTCAGAGCGGCTTACAATCTCCTTTCCCTCCCCCTCCCCAGAACAGACACCCTGTTGTGTCCACTGACCACCACTGGAGGTCAGCGCACATGCCTGAGCTTCAGTCCAGGACAACAATGGGGACTAGGATCCTAGTCCCTCCACTGGGGGACCAATGGGACTGTGGTGGGAAATTCAAACCCGCGACATCCACCAAGGCGACCATCCGCGCCCTCTGGAAAATCTTCGCCACCCACAGCCTGCCGGACACCATCGTCTCGGACAACGGGACGGCGTTTACTTCCGAGGAGTTCCGGCAATTCCTCAGCGGCAACCTGATCCAGCACATCAGGACGGCACCCTTCCACCCGGCAACCAACGGCCAAGCAGAGCGCATAGTCCAGACCGCGAAGGAGGCCCTCAGCCACCTATCAGAGGGGGACAACGCCTAACCCGGTAAGCGGCCGCTGCCCCGCCGAGCTGTTGATGGGCCGGAGGCCTA